CACACACACACCTCAAGTCGCACCTGGACCCTCACACACACACCTGGACCCTCACACAAACACACACACACACACCTGGACCCTCACACACACACACAGTCACTCACACACACACCTGGAGTCACACCTGGACCCTCACACACACACCTGGACCCTCACACACACACACCCACCTGTGCAGGTCCTCCGGCAGGTGCTGCAGCCGGTTGCTGCCCATGTCCAGCCACTGCAGGGCGGGCAGCGCCAGCACGCAGGCCGGCACGGCCCGGAAGGCGTTCATGGACAGGTCCAGGTGCTGCAGCCGGCCCAGCCGCCCCAGCTGAGGCCACACGGAGCAGAGGGGGGTCTAAGGGATCAGGTCCACCCAAAACCATCTGGTCCCCCCCTGGTCTGTTTGGGTTTGGACCGGGTCCTACGTTTGTGTGGGCCCAGCTACAGTCTGGGTCTGTTTGGACTGGTTGTGGTTTAATATCTATGTGGGGGGGCAGGTGCCACCAGGTGAGGAACCTGGGACCCCGGTACCTGATACCTGGTCCGGCAGCTCGTGCAGGTCCCGGTTCGTGGCCAGCTCCAGCCTCTCCAGACTCTCACACCCGCTCAGCTCCTCGGGGACGGACTGGATCCGGTTGTAGCTCAGCAGCAGCTCCCTGAGCCGGGTCAGCTTCCCTAAGACCAGAACCGGAGCGTCTAACCGGGGCGGGCCACAGGTTTGGGTTCACTCTGGGGTCATCTCTCCCCTCGACTACTGTAACCCCCCCTGACTCTCCAGCCCCGATCGTGAAACCGTCACAGATGATCCAGAAGGCGGCGTCTGGTCTTCAATCAGCCCCAAAAAGTCTCGCGTCCCCCCTCTGACCACTGAGCTTCACCGGTTACCCCCGGCTGCCCCCATCAGGTCCCTGGTGCCTACAGAGGTCTTCAGGGTCGGGCTCCGTCCCCCTGAACCCTCTCAGAGGTCCAGCCGGTCCCTCTGGTCCTCAGCGGGTTCTGGTCCAGCAGAACTGCTCAGACTGTTTCAGATGGAGGAGGGAGCTACAGGAACAGCAGCAGGGGTCTGTCTGTCTTTAGGAGACTCTTAAAGACCCCCTCTCCACAGAGCAGCTCCTATCCTGACTCCTACCCAGACCTCTGGACCCTCTATTCCTCTTTCAGAACTTCCTTCCTTCCCTCTCTTTTTGCCACCACTGACTCTGACTGTTTTTTTCCTCTAGAGGGCTTATTTTCATATTGTGTCTACTTTGTAAGTCAGATAACAGCGTCTGCTAGATGCAGAAACATTAAACACTCACCGATTTGTTTGGGAATCTCAGCCACCGCATTGCGGGACAGATCCAGGACCAGGAGGTTCTGGAAGCTGGAGATGAAATGTGGGACCTTCAGCAGCCCGGTCCGGTGGATCTGCCACTCCTGGACCTGGCTGAGCTGAACCAGGCACCCGGGCAGAGACTGTGAATTTAAAAGGGGTCGGTCAGCGGCCCTGGGGTCCCCCCGGCCCTGCCCAGACCACCAGCACCTTCCAGTCCTCCTTCTCGATCCGGAGCACCAGCCGGCCGTCTTCGGTCTGGAGCTTCTCCCTCAGCCTGGCCAGCGTGGCCCGGTCCTCCCAGGCCCCGACCCCGACTCTGGACGGGCAACACGGGGAGCCGTCAGAGGGCAAACGGACTCAAATTGACCCAGGCTTCTGGTTAGTAGTTCTGAAAAGACTTGGCTGGGTCAGGGGGGCGGAGCCAGACGTGCCCAGAGCTGTAAGCCGTCCTGAGGGGAGAGGGTGTGGTCTGACCTGCCTGTAGCTCCGCCCCTGGCCGTCCTCCTCTGCTCCTCCTCCTCCTTCCTCCTCCTGATTCTGGTCTCCCACAGAGCTTTGATGGAGCTCACCGAGCCGCACGCCACCGCCACGCCCGCCATGACAGTCAGGACGACCTCTGACCCCTGAGCTGCAGCCTGGACCTCCCACAGACCATCCTGTGTGACGCCATAGATCAGACCCCGGCTGTCCCGTTACTTATGGAACAGAACCTGCACTCTGGTTCCTGTGAGTCCGACCAAACATTTCCCCTCTGTAAACCTCAGTGGTGTTGCCATGTTTTTCCCTCCACACCCCAGACTAAGAAACAGGCCTGTCAGTCTGTGTGAGGACACATTCTGGGCCTCAGCCTGACAGTCGTGCTCATAAACATCAACAGGTTTGCTTCGGAGCTGGCTGTGTCATAAATAATGGGACAGTAGTGTGGCTTTAGCCTGAACAGATTCTGCTCTCACCTTGTAGCGGCACGGCCGTCCTCCATGCTGCTGAAACCTGACCCCGGACGGCTGGGTTATTTTAGCCCCCACGTCATGTGACCTTGCCACCACAAGGTCACATGACGCCCCGTTTGCTCAGCTGACAGCAGAGGTTTAAATAGCTCTGCCTGTGGCGGACGCCATTAAAGGGACACGAGGTTTGTGCACGTCGTTTTATTGAGGCTTCACACACGCTCAGAAACACGGAAACATACATCTGTAAAGTTTATTTCAGGCTACAACACAAACAGGGAAACGGCCGGCGCGGGGTGCTGGTTACCCAGCAGCCACTGCGGCGGCCCGGACCACGCCCCCCCCCCCCGGTCAGGGCCCGGCTTGGGGTTCTGTCAGGGCCCGGCCGGGGAGACTACTCTAATGGAGCTGGTTCTGACTCTAATCATTCACAGAACCAGATGCAGGAGTCAGGTGACCTCAAACGGACCACAGACGAACCAGAGACGGCTGGTTCTGATCCAGCAGAGACAAATCTGACTAATACGGGCATTGAGGGGCACCCAGGTTCTGATCCAGGACCTCTGAAAGTTTCACTGTAACATCACTGACCGGCCCTTTAAAGGAAGCCCCGCCCACAGCCCAAACGGTCCCAGCACAGAACCTGCAAAGGTCCAAGACTAGCGACCCGGAAACGTTCAGGAGGTCACAGATCAGGAGGGAATGGGTTAAGGCACTGGACTGAACCGGCCCATCCATCTGAACCAGCTCGGTTCTGATGGGTCGGTCTGGATGTGTTCCTGGTTTTGCTAGAGATCGGATCTCATCAGAACCAAGAACACGACACAACACCGCCCGCTAGGAATAGGAAAGAAGAAAAAGAAGGACCCGGTTCTGCTCTTTCCAGGTGTTTGGGTTCACGACTGGACCGGGTCAGCTAGGAGTTCTGAGGGAGGAAACCGTCAGGAGCCGCCACTCTAAAGTCCAACAGAGTGCAGGTCTACCTAGGAGGAGTCGGTAGTCATGGTAACACAGCATCACTCAGTGGGGAGGAAGGCCTCAGGAACAGGAAGTGAAGGCAGAGGATGGGCGGGGCTCGTGGTCTCTCAGGTGGCGTCCCCCCCCTCTACTTGAGGTCCAGCACCATGCTGGCCGGGCTCTCCAGGTAGGCCTTCCACAGGTTGGAGAAGCGGCACATGGTGGCGCCGTCGATGATGCGGTGATCTGCCGACCAGCTGACGTTCATGATGTGGGCGCGGGTCACCTGACCGCCAGCGTCGAACCGCGGCAACACCTGCACACCCAGGTAGGACAGGTCACACACAGCTGGAGTCACAGCTGGACACACACACACACACCTGGACCCACACACACACACCTGGAGTCATACCTGGACCCTCACACACACACAC